CCCTAAACCCTAAACCCTAAACCCTACATAGGTACATGGATCCGTTGGGTCAACCCCGACCGATGCACAGCCACGACGGCATATGCAGGCCGAAACTCGGCGTCGGGCCAAGAATCTCGTGGCTGACTTCCCGCGGGCGTCATGAACGGTGTTTTTTCTTTTTGTTAGGGGGGTTTAGGGTTTAGGGTTTGGGGTTTAGGGTTTAAGGTTTAGGGTTTGGGAGTCTCATGTCCCCGGCTAACGATTTGAAGTTAGCACTCCGTGTGCTTCGAGGGTGTTGGTACGTATTGCCTTTATCCAAACAGCTTGCTAAACCTTGGGGGCCAGTTGAACCCTGAAATTGGGGGGGTCATCTACCCTATACGACTGTAATTCTATTTAGGTATATGAACCATTAGCGTTCACTTGGTCCTAAAGGAAAGCAAGAGTGTGGGATGCGTAGCCTCCATGAAGTTGAATTGCATGTGGGCTCGGTCCAGCGTGCTTCACAAGGCACGGCTTAAGCCATCAACGTTGATGATGATGAGGGTTTAGGGCTTAGGGCTTAGGGCTTAGGGTTTAGGTTTAGGGTTTAGGGCTTAGGGTTTAGGGTTTTGGGTTTAGGGTTTGGGGTTCAGGGTTTAAGGAAGATGTACAGTCACAACACACCGAAACGAGCAGTAAAAAGGGGGGGGATCTGCCCTCGATGACCGCCGAGAAGAGAAGGCCGAAACCCTCTGAGCGAACCTTCCGCCCTCCGAGACCCCAAAACCTTACACATGTACAGTGAATTTTTAAGGGTTACAGGGTTTAGGGCTTGGGGTTTGCGGTTTAGGGTGGGTCTAGAGCTTGAAGTTGTTAAAATTTGGGGTTCTGGGCTTAGGATGGTTTAGGCTATTTGATTCCTGCGCCCCAAAACCCAAAACCCAAAACCCTTCTCACAAGGGACTCGACCCTAAACCCTTAAACCCGAAACACCGACCCCAACGATGGGATCCTAAGCCTACTACTGCTTGTTCAGCTTTGGGAAGACCAAAGGAAACAGACTCAAGGGACTGATAAGGGTCCCTCCTAGGGACCCCTCAACAGACTGCCTCAACTAGGTCGTCTCGTATCTGGGAGTCTTGCAACGACGGGGGGGGGGGGGGGGGGGGGGGCGAAGTCTTCGATTCAGCTCCGAAAGATTTAGGGCTTCGGTTGGGATGTTTCCCGTTATACTAACAGTCCTTGGTGGGGATGATTATAGTAGCCCTTGCTATACTCCCAATTAAGGACTGTTAGTATAAGGGGGAAACATCCCAAGGTCTAATTTGGGTTTAAGGTTTAGGGCAGTTTAGGGTTTACCGTAGGTTTGGGGCTAAAATCATGTCGGGGCACGGTGAACTGGAGATTTCGGCGCACGAAGCGGGGCATGCAAGCGACAGCTCAATCTCACAACGCGGATGCAAAGCAAAAGGTATACTTCATGCTATGCCGCAGCTATCCCGCAGCATCTGCATCACTACGGCATGCACGCAAAATCACTCAGTGGAACTCCGTATGCCCTGCAAAGCTGGAACGGATGCAGGTGTCGGACCTGGAACTGGAAAAGAAACTTCGCGTGGAGCCGGCTTTACCGGCCGAGGCTGTGTCGGAACCTTGCAGGTTCCTTGGAAACTGAAGCAGCTAATATATGTCGTTGCAATATGCTTGCTTGCGCACTGCCGATATAACCATGACAACAACGATAAAACATTAGAAGAAATCAGAAGTTCAGAAAACAACAGCCACACAGTTCGCAAGACTAGCAGTGGCAAGAACCCCGAGAAGGAGAAACGTAACCACACGAAAGCCAAAACAAAAGACTAAAGAATAAAACGAGTACTCCTAATCATAATAATAACAACAACAATACTAACATTAGTATTAAAACTAATCATCATCATCATCATCAACCTAATAAGAATGCTAATAGTTTATTAACAAAAATAGCAATAATAATAACAGTAGTAGTAACAAAAACAATGAAGTATCCATCATGGTGACCTGAGGTGAAAGCCAAGGCCGCCAGCTTGCTCCCGCGTTTGTTCGGTCCCATACGACTGGAACAAGGATACAAGTTGGGATGCTCCCCCCCCCTTTAGAGTAACAGTTTAGGGTTTAGTAGGATTTAGGGTTTAGGGTTTAGGGTTTAGGGTTTCGGGTCCTTTAAGAGGGATTCTAGTAGGGGATACAAAAACCCTATTAAGGACTGTGAATCTAAGGGGGAGCATCCCAAGGAACAAGGGTTGCATTGGCTGAGCGTGGTGGCTTCCACTCGACCCAGCAAAAACCTAGGAATCAACAAAGGGGTGCCCTTGGTTCAAAGGACCTATCAGGCACCCCTAAACCCTAGAAAAAAGGAAATAAGGGCCTACTCTGGGTTGGCTTATCAGGTTTATGGGGCTTCTAGGGTTCAACAGGTTTCGGAACAGCGCGTTCTCAGGACGCCTGGCCCTGCTTCTGAGGGGTGGCGCAGTTTTAGAACACGAATGGAGTGCCTAGCGCGAGGCGATGGGAGTCTTTGATCCCCGACGTAAGGATTGCCAATTCAGTTGGGGGTCTGGGGTGAATCAGGAACCTTCTCAAACAAGACGCTCGTGTCAGGCAAGCCCGAAGAGCTTTGCAGAGAATCAACACCCTATATCGGGGTCGTCAGGCCTTAGGGCGAAAGACCAAAGACTCAATCCGCGCAGTCGCATTCCGAATGGGGCTCGAGCGAGGGGCTGGGTCTTAAGGCTTGGTAGCCCAGCAACCATCTTACAATAAGGGTACCCTTTTTGGGGTTGGCTACCTTATAATGGAACCTTGAAACAGAAAAGGGAAAAGGGTACCACTGGGCTACCAAGTAAGGGTTTAGGCCGTGGGGTTTGCAAGGCGCGGCCCCCACAATGAGCAATGTTTCAGCTAGTCCGCAACACATCAAATTTGATTCGTGTTGCAGACTTTGCCAGGCCCATGCTCCCCCTTCTGCACACAACTGGCGCACAGCAGCAAAGTCTCATCAACCAGCAACCTGGTATACTTAGGGCTTAGGTTTTAGGGTTTAGGGTTACACCTAAACCGCAAAAAAACCTGAACCCGAAGCCAAAGAAGGAGCCAAGCCCGCAAGGCAATCTGAACATGCCCAAAGACACTACTGATTCGCCAACTATTTATAGGGCTCTTAAGGGAGGGGGGTTTAAGGGTTTAGGGTTTAGGGTTTAGGGTTTAGGGTTTAGGGTTATGTAACCCAAGGTTCCCTAATGCTCCCCAGTCCTCCCGAAGGCCCCCCGAGCTTCCCTAAGGCTTCCCAGGTACCTACCCCCCATGAGACCCCCTCCCTTAAGAATCCGATAAACTATCTAAGGGTAGTTTTATGGTCCCTCACCTTCTTTACGGGTTAGGGTCCCTTATTGGTCCTCTAAACCAAAAGGGCACCCTTCTTGTTCATAGGTTACTGCTGGGTCTAGTATCTAAGGGTAGTTACATGGCCCCTTCATATGGTCCCCCCCCCCCCCCCCCCATTTAAGGGCACATACTAAGGGACCATGTAACTACTTTAGGAAACTAGGACAAGGGGCCGCTCAGCTACCAACAACACTAGCAACAACCCTACCTCATACGATCCCAGGTTTGGGGTACACTTGGTTCCGGAGGCATGACGACCGAGGAGCTAAGCATTTAGGGCTTAGGTATTCGGGGCCCCTTTGTAGCGGCTAAACTTCAGGGGGAGGATGAGGGAACTGTAGCCAAAAGCCTCTACGTCTTCAACCAGCATGTGCTGACGTGTGGTTATGGGGGGAAGGGGGGGGGGGCATAGGCTTGTAGGGACCCTAAACCCTAACCCTACACCCTATAGGATTTCTACCACGCTGGATGCTGGATGCCAACTGCACTGAACACTACAGGTACCTAGGGGACCACATGAACCTCAAAGTGGAAACGGAATCGTATACCCTGGACGATTGCAATCCCGACAAGGTCTATGGAACCACAACCATAAGGAGCCTTTCGATTCCCTAAAACCCTAAAACCCTAAAACCCTAAAACCCTAAAACCCTAAAACCCTAAAACCCTAAAACCCTAAAACCCTAAAACCCTAAAACCCTAAAACCCTAAAACCCTAAAAACCCTAAAACCCTAAAACCCTAAAACCCTAAAACCCTAAAACCCTAAAACCCTAAAACCCTAAAACCCTAAAACCCTAAAACCCTAAAACCCTAAACCCTAAACCCTCCAGAAACTTGGAACATGGCCTAAAGCAGGGACTCCCTTTTGCATACCCTTTGACTTGTTTGCTGAGTTCCTAAGCCCCCCAAAAAGTGTGCACTTTGAGTTTTTAGGGGGTTATAGTATCCCACAAAAAGGTGTAAAGTGTACTCCCTAAACCCTAAACCCTAAACCCTAAACTACCCTAAACCCTAAACCCTCCTAAACCCTAAACCCTAAACCCTAAACCCTAAACCCTAAACCCTAAACCCTAAACCGTAAACCGTAAACCCTAAACCCTAAACCCTAAACCCTAAACCCTAAACCCTAAACCCTGAACCCGAAACCTCGTCCCCAAGGTGCCCGATGGCTCCCTTGCACCCACTACGCCCACTCAGGAGGCCGCACCTGCCTTGCTGGTGCTGGGAAAGGGACCCGAATTCCTTGGTAGCCCAGGATACCTAAACCCTAAACCCTAAACCCTAAACCCTAAACCCTAAGCCCTAAACCCTAAACCCTAAACCCTAAACCATACTACAGTAAGGGTACCCTTATCTGGGTTGGCTACCTTATAAGGGAACCTTGAACCCAAAAACGGGAGAAGGGTACCACTGGGCTGCAAAGATTCCATTCTCCAGGAGGATGGGCTTCAACCCCTCCGGCACACGAGGATGCAAGATGGGGCTGTCGGTATACTTGGCCAGGAGCTGCTCCAGATTTCGCATCCTTAATCCCTGTTCCCCTAGGAAGAAAAAAGGATCCTTCTGGTTCATACATAAGAAAGCCCATAACCCAAAAAGCAAAAAGGATCCCTAACACTGATCTAGCATCTGTGTGTTTACATGCACAACCAGAGCCACAGCTGGCCCAGCGCCAGCTCGGAGTGGAGTTCTGCCAGGGCAAGACCTCAGCGAGCAGGGCAGATGCATGTCGTGGAAGTAGCCGCGGAAGGCCTGGGCAGCTGCCGACGTGGTGAAGTTGATGAACGCGTACCCCAAGCAACGGCCATCCTTGTGCCGAATGGGGAGGTACAAGAAATCCACCTCCTCAAGGCAACGATGTTGCTCCAGAAGGTTGCACAGCATGCTTCGAGTAAAATCCTTGGGAATGTTGCGCAGCACCAGCGAAGTCTGCCCGCACATCTCAGATGCTGTCCCTGAGCCGGACCTCTTAGAGCCAGGCATCGCAGGGATTGCACACTCGTCACGTGGATAGGAGGAAGCCCTTCTCCTGGCTCCATCCGACGTGGTGAAGTGCAGAAACGTGTTTTTCACGACGGGGTTGGCCTCCGCCATTTGCCAGGCTGCTTCCATGGCGCAAAAAGTGCTCTTATTCGCTTGCAAAGTGGCCCCTGACTGCGACCGCAAGGGGAGAGAGCGGCGCTCCTGTCACTCCTAAATAAAGTGTTTCCACATGCGAGAACATGTATATACAAATCTCTCCATATACATATGTATACATATATATATATACATGTATGTATGTAAATATATATATATATATGTATATAGCCATGGATCTCTTGCTGACAACACGATCGAGATGACCAGACAGAAGAAAGCAACGGCTTGGGCCTCAAGCCACGGCCAGTTTGTCCCAAATCTCAACCCTAAACCCGAAACCCTACTTACAAGGACATGACGAGCGAGGCCAGCTGAATATGAAGAAGGCCTAAGAGGGTGCAGGGTTTTTTGGGGTTTGGGGGGGGGGTTAAAGTTTACTTGTTGGCTCTGGGGCTCCAGTCCCCCAGTCCGCTGGAAACCCTTCCGCAGGCCGCGGTCTTGGCGCGACCAAATCAGCCCTAAGATTGGGGCCATAACCCTACACTGTAACATAGTAGCAACTCAAAAAGGCCATTCTTTTTGTTTTGAAGAGGGGGGCTCTGAGGGAACTCTGCCTAAACCATAAACCCTAAACCCTAGAGGGTTTATGGTTGAGCTTTTTCAAGAATTCCCGAAACCCTGAACCCTGTAAAGCCCTTGACAGGAGCCTACGACACAAAAGGGCGCGTAAAGGCAAACAAAGAACAAGGGCTCGGTGACTTTGGGAGCTTGGGGTTATTTAGGGGTTCGGCGCTCATGCTCTGGCAACATCCCCGCTGGGCAAGTGCCGAATGGGCTCTCCTAGCGCGTTCAGCATCCAGTTCCCACCCTACTTGGAGGTTCATGGTACTGATTAACCAATGATAACGGCACTTATACCCCACTTATAATGTGGTTATAAATACAATTACAAGTACAGCTATAATTGGTTAATAAGTACCATGAACCTCCAGGTAGCAATACCAGGCATGGCATTTTCACGTCGAGTTGAAAGGCGCCTTCGGCGCCTGGGATCCGGTCTTTGGCAAGACTGCCAGGAGCTGCAACCGACGGAAATCCAAGACGAAGACGTGGAGCATCGCATTTAGGGTTTATAGGGTTTATAGGGTTTATAGGGTTTATAGGGTTTATAGGGTGTTTAGGGTTTAGGGCATGACCTTTGACCTAACACCTGTTTCGTATCACAAGCTAAGACTTATAGGTACTGCGACACTCCACGTTGGACATATGCACGTGCACGCCATGCGCATCTTGGACTCGCATGACGCCATGGGCCATGCGCAAAGATGCGCTGCACAGATGCTGGCACACTCTCTCATGGCATCCCAGACATGAGCCCCTAGGGGTTCAGGGTTTAGGGTTGAGGGTTGAGGGTTGATCAGGGTTTAGGGTTACCCGCAACCCTTATTTGTGGATGAACCTTTTGTGCAACAGAAGCCTATATAAACCCCTGCCAGGTGAAGCCCGTCACTCGCTCAGGTCTTTCTCATCATGGCCATAAACCTGGGTGCGTGGGGCTTTTTGGCTTTTTAGAGCTCCCCCAAACCCTAAACCCTAAACCAGGGCGCTTCAGCGCTCCAAAATGCGCAACACAGGCAGCCCTCCGAATGGTCATCGACGACCGAAACTTTTTGAGCTCCGAAGCAAAGGCACACGAAACATGAACAATTGTCATATGGCATCTTCTTGCTACACACACCTCCCATGGTTTTAGGATTGTGGGGGGGTTTCACTCAAAGGCGAGAGGCACCCCCCCCAAATCTCCTCCGGTGGCAAGTGAAAAAACCCTCAGCCTATGGCCCGGGCGTATCGAAATCAATGGAGACTCTCCGCGGGTCCTGGCTTCGTTCCGGCTGCCTTTTCATTGGGTTTTGGGGCTTAGGAATGTTCAGGACTTGCCTTCGAGGTTAAGGCTTGAGTTTTTCTAGGGGTCCGAGGGTGAACTTTGCATGATCTGCTCAGAAACCGAAAAAAAGCTTCCAGGAATCTTCATGCGCAACTCTGCTTCCCAAGGTAGTGTAGAGAAGGAAATGAAAGAACAAAGCGAATCCACCTACAGCCTCCCGTGACAGAGCGAAAAGCAGTACAGCACTTGGTACCTGATCCCGCTCTTACGGTTCAGTTGGTCGCCTTAAAGAGGGAACGAAGTGCCACAGGGAAACTCTCTTCTATTTTATTATGTTATTGTTATATCGTGTTTTTTACATGGTTACATGACAAGATGTCTCGTCAGTGCATTTTTACAGGGCTATCTATATTGCCATGGTATTATGTTTTACCTTGTTATGCAAACATACCATTATAGCTTAATATTTTTTCTATGCCTCAACGTAACAAGTCATACGCTGCTAGCACAAGCGAGTAACAACATCACACCTTCAACATATAATAATACTGGTACCTTGATGTAAGTTACTTAGTCACCAAGGACCCGGTTTTGGTGGAATGACATTTCGGCTGCTTCTGGTCTACCGAAAAGGCTCTTTTGCTCCTGAAGGGGGGGGGGGGGCGGGGGTAGCCGTTTAAAGTCCCAAACTCAACAAACACCAGCCAACGCGCCAGACGATGAGAATGCTTCCTTCGTTTCCAACCTATGAGATCTCAAGAAGAAGGTAAAGGCCAACAACCTGAACCCATGGGTTCAACACGTATATTTGGGGGTCGGAGCATTTCAAGTTTGACCCGGACTGGCACTGAGAATGCTCGATGAAGAACTCTGTCACGGCATTTTGTGAACATAATGGATAATGGGGTCCAACCACGCAGAAGTCAAAAAACAACAGGGTCCTCTGGAGCCCACAACCCTAACCCTAACCCCTAAACCCTAAACCCTAAACCCTAAACCCTAAACCACAGCGACCCGCCCTCTGCGAGCCCAGGCCCTTTCGTCTTGGCAGGCACGGAGTGCACCATTCAAACAAGACAACATTACCAGCTTAGGCTGTTTTAGGGTTTTAGGGTTTTAGGGTTTAGGGCATTAAAGATGAGAACCATCTCATTCGCACGTAAAGGACATGCATTCTGGCATATGCGTGCAATGTCTCCGTCCTTTTCTGATGTTCGTCTCATGATGGAGTTTGTTTGTTCGTCAGCTGGTTCCTCATACCGAACCCTCCGACCTAAACCCTCTACCCTAGACCCAGGAGTAACCTAGGGTTATAAAGGGTACCCTTTTTGGTTTTAAGGGGATTGAAAGGGAACCTAAACCCTAAACCCTAAACCCTAAACCCTAAACCCTAAAACCCTAAAACCTAAACCCTAAACCCTAAACCCTAAGACCTAAACCCTAAACCCTAAACCCTAAACCCTAAACCCTAAACCCTAAACCCTAAACCCTAAACCCTAAACCCTAAACCCTAAACCCTAAACCCTAAACCCTAAACCCTAACAAAAGGAAATAAGGGCCTACTCCGGGTTCTATATTACCTGACGGGTCCTCGAGATCAGCACGGAAGCCGCCCTCAAAGTTCTCAGCGACCTGACGCCGAATTAGAGAGTTCTTAAGGTTTAGGGTTTAGGGTTTAGGGTTTAGGGTTTAGGGTTTAGGGTTTAGGGTTTAGGGTTTGAGTTCTTAAAGGAGGGGGGTTCGAGGGGGTTATGTAACCCAAGGTTCCTAAAACTCCCTACTACTCCCTGTGGCTCAATAAGCTTCCCCAACGTTCCCTAGATACCTGCCCCCCCCATGACAATGAAGCCCTCATCCCTTAAGTAACCGATGGGTTCTCCACACTGGCCTTGAAAGTTTGCGTTGAGGTCCTGGGGGGGGCGGGGGGGTGGAATAATTACTAACAGTGTTCCCTTATAGTCCCTTAAAGTTAGACTAAATTATGCCATAATAACCGTCCCACAACCCATCTCTTAATTATCAAGGCCCCTACATGAGTTGATGCAAGAGTGTGGCACATGGAGGGGTTGAGTCAAGTGCCCCAGCTTTGGGGGTCTGAGAAAGCTGCTCCCCTAGAAAAAGCACCTTGCAAGGTCAAACAAACCCATTCATGGAAAGACACCGAAGAACCCCCGAATTGACGCCCACCGTGAACTGGGGTGGGTGGATACCAAGAGCCCCGGGAAAAGACGCTCCGAAGCCAGGGAAGATCTAGAAAACCGAGCACCCTCCCCTCCCTTCGCTACCCTGCAACGGTGCTCCAGGGAATTTGCAGTACACTCCAACAAGTTGGGAACATCCTTATCTCAATACCCCAAAAGGTATACCCAAAATGATCCCGGCTCTAGCAATACTTAAACCATGTTCCAACTTTCTGAAGTTTACTGTAGGCCCCTCAAACCGCTCTACACGCCACCTGAGAGCCCAGTCGTGAATCCTCAAACGTGAATTCTCAGTCGCACATTGGGGCCACCGACAAGCTGCTCGACATCCAAATCCTCCAATCCTGATTTAGGGTTAGGGTTTATAGGGTTTAGGGTTGGGGTTTGGGGTTTTGGGCTTAGGGAAGCAAGATTTGCAACTTTTTGGCCGGTGGTTGGGGGCTTCGGGTTGAGGCGACGGCAGCGGTTTAGGCTTTGGCTGGGGTCCGGCGCTCTGTCTTTCTCACAACCGCAACCGTTTGCCCGAAGAACTAAGGCAAAAACCCCTCAAAACACGACACCTCGATTTTTTTTTGCCAGAGTGCCGCTCTCAGTGAGGGCCACGATCAGATCGTCCTTGCGGATGATACCTGCCCAACTCGTGGGTGAGCTCTTTCAGCTTTAGGACCCCAGATCTTCCAAACCCCCTTAATTTAAGGAATATACCCATTTTTATACTAAGGATCCTTATTCTGACTCAGGGTATATACCTTAAGCAAGGGGTTTTGGAAGATCTGGGACCGTTGACTCCTTAACAGCATCCTTTGCCGGCCTCGCTTGCTAACTACTATTTGCTTATCAGAACCCCCAAAAGAATAAAAAACCATGAATAATCCCTATATTACCTTTAATAAGGAAGAATATTTCTTGATTTTTTGAGGGTTCTTAAGCAACCAATTAGTAGCAAATTTTACCCACTCTGTCTGGAGTTGGCAGGTCAGGCGGCAGGCAGATTGTTGGGAGTCACGCGTTCACCCATCACTTGCTGCAGGCGAAGTCTACCACTGTGTCTACGAGGAGACTTGGGAGTAGAAAAGGGTACCCTTTTTGGTTTTCAGGGGATTAATAAGGGAACCCCGCCCCTAAAAAAGGGGAAACAAGGGGCCTACTCCCAGTCCTTGACGAGGAGATCGACCCTACCTCGATGTTTCCGGCCCTTGTGAGGCCCTGGGGATGTGCAATCCGAGGGCCGAGGTCAAAACTGCGCAGCTAAACCTACTTCGAGGTTCATGGTACCTATTGCTGTTGTTATAACTGTACTTATAACCCACTTAGAAGTCCCTTAAGTGGTTATAAGTACAGTTCTAAGTACAGTCATTGTTGGTTAATAAGTACCATGAACCTCCAAGTAGGACCTCTGTTTAGTTCCCGGATTGCGCTGAGCCGATGCGCAAGTTCAAAAAGACCGCAGGCACCGGCAACACGCCGACGACATGTCTCTCCAAAAATACTTGAGAGAGCTGGCCATGTGATGTTCAGTGTACTACTACTACTACTACTACTACTACTACTACTACTACTACTACTACTACTACTACTACTACTACTACTACTACTACTACTACTACTACTACTACTACTACTACTACTACTACTACTACTACTACTACTACTACTACTACTACTACTACTACTACTACTGCTACTACTACTACTACCTCCATGCTGAAGTTCACAGGAATCGATGTCAGGACCAGGAAGTCCCAGCTTCCGACTTGCCGGGGACAGGGTGACTAAACACCTCCCACGTTACCTTAAGCAGCCCTGTGTAGGCCCCGAAGCCCTACATGCCCAAAAAAACCCTAACCAGGCTAACCAGGACCCGAACTCCAAACCGTCTACCCAGGCAGGCGCACCCTCCCCATCCCTGTCGAAGAACTGGAACGCGTAGGCGAGCATTTTGTCCTCAAGGTACTGCCTGCTCAGCGCAAGGGCTTTCGGGTTGAGGGGCTCCGATGTAGGCTGCACGCAACGCCCTGTAGAACCTTTTAAAGGGTATAAGGAGGGACTCCTAGGAGGGTCTTTTTAATGTTATTCCCCTATATATCCCCTATGTATACCTTATATAGTCCCTATATACCTAAGTAGCCCCTATATATATATATCCCTCAAATAGCCTAGGGTCCCTTAAAGGTCCCTCCTTTAGTCCCTTCCCCCGAACCCTAGACCCTACAAAGCCCCAAGCCCAAAAACCCCAAAGCCTAAAAGCCAAAAAACTACAAGGCCCCAGCCCCTAAACCCTAAACCCTAAACCCTGAACCCTAAACCCTAAACCCTAAACCCTAAAACCAAACTACTAGGCCGCTGCAGTGCATAAGCTTCCGTGCAACTCTGCAGGGACGAATCGAGGAAAACCGGTACAACTTCACGACTCACCCGTGACATATATGGGTTTAGGGTTAGTTTACTGGGCTTTGTAGCAGCACACGTTATAGATGCTCCTTCTCACAAGAGGGGGAGCAAAGCATGGACGTAGCACCCTAAACGCTGCACCCTAGATCCGAAACCCTAAACCCGAAACCCTAAACCGTAAACCCTAGACCCTAGCTACCTAAAAACATGTTCGGGTTCATTGGGTTCCTTCTGCATGTCAAGAGGGATAAGAGGGATGCAGCAAGAATATAGAACCGACAAGGTGCCTCTTGTCCAAGGCGGCAGCCAAAAACTCCTCTGCACACCGACAGCGGGAGAATGTGAGAGCGCAGCAAGGCCTTGTTATAGAATAAACTGGCACCCTAGACCCTAAACACTAAACCCTTCTGTTATGGCTAGGACTGCTGCACTGCCTGCCTGTGGCCGGCTATGCCAATCCCTAAACCCTAAACCCCAAACCCTCAACGGCTAAACGGAATAACCCCTAAACCCTAAACCCTAAACGGCTAAAGCCTAAGCCCTAAATCCTACGCTGCTTGTATGCGTTGGGAGTCCGGTTTAAAGCAAACCTTCCTGCTCCCAGCAAGTGGCCTCGAACATGACAACACAACATTGCAATCTCTGCAGGTTTACTTAGGGTATAGGGGTTAGGGCTCATTAGGGCTAGGGTTTCAGGGTTTAGGGCTTATCCCTACAAAGCCCTGAGAATGCCAACTGGCGCCACGCGTCCGTGTACTCGATGTACCCGCTCCTCTCGCATCTGAGGCCCCCTCTACACCCCCTTTTAGTCTTTTCCCTCAGGCTCCAATCGCCCAGAATACGTATTATTTGCAGACTTTAGACCCCACTGTCGGTATTCTTTGTGTGCTTGGAGCCCCAGGGAATAGTGTTCTTCGTGGCTCTCATGCTCCAGTTCGGCATGTTTAGAGTTTGGCTTGCTTGTCGGGGCTTAGATACATAAAGAGTGCAGCTGCGCAGACAAACTTGGGGATTTCCTAAATTTCGCATGCGATCTAATGCGAAATTTAAACGGGACCTCCAAACAATTACCCCTTTTTCGGAACACTCAGATGCTCTCAACAGCTTCCCCCTTTGGGCGCGCAGGGGTCGCCTTCGGGCTCCAGGGGCTTGTGGGCTGGCTTTATTTGACTTCTGACCTTCTCTGAGGTACCTCAACCCTAAACCCTAAACCCTCAACCCTAAACCCTAAACCCTAAACCCTAAACCCTAACCCTAAACCCTAAGGGCTTTATGGGTTGAGGCTTTGATGTGCTGGGCTTTGGGACTTTTGGGCAATCAGTGCGCCTCTCTTTAAGCCCTGAGGGTCCGTGTACCTGAATAGGGGAATACTGGAACCTTATAACGTGCTTCCTATCATCCTATAAAGGGAATTTGGGGCCCAAGCATATACTAAGATGGAACATGGACCCTTACCCAGACCTCTGGGAGGATGCAAAGAATAGAACCCCCAAATCGTACCCTATACTACTATGGGGTTATTCTGAGGAACCTTTGAGGTGATCTATTTTTTTGGATCCTCCCAGGGGTCTGGGTAGGGTAAGGTCTTGAGTTCAAGGGTTGGCCCTTATATCCGAGGCTCCTCCGAGGGGCTTCCAAACTGATAGGGTTTGTAGGGCTTGGAGGGCTTATAGGGCTTAACTATAGGGTTATGTAGGGTGCGGAGGGCTGAGAGCGTTTATAGGGTTTACATAGGTCTTACAGGAGTTCATAGGGTTTAGGGGTTTAGAGTTTTTCGGGCCCGAAACCCTAAACCCTAAACCCTAATCCCTAAACCCTAAGGGGGTCTGAGAGACGAGGAGGTGGAGATCGTCGGCAACACAAAAAACGGTCCCGTTGAAGTCGATGCCGGCAAAGATGCCCTGCCTCAGTGGCTGTCGCCTTTGACATCCCCCGGATGGTTTAGGGTTTAGGGTTTAGGGTTTAGGGTTTAGGATTTAGAGTTTAGGGTTTAGGTTCGGGGTCTAGGGTTCAGGGTTGAGGGTTTGGGGTTTGTCACAAGGAAAATGCGATTTCCGAGGTTCCTAGGCCCTTGAGTGTAGCTCCTCCTTCCGGTGTACCTAATGTTTGTATCCTTCGAGGATATAAGTATCAGGAATTGGGGGCAGGGGGAGGGGGGGTATGTATGTATATATATATATATATATACACCTAAACCCTAAGCCCTAAACCCCAAACCCTAAAGCTCAAACCCCAAACCCTAAACCGCAAGAGAGTACCGGTGCTGAGCTCTGGACACCTCGGACGGAGCTTCTTCGAGGCCCACACCTCGGCGACATTGGGAGCTCCCAGGATGTCCCTGTTGACTCTTCTTCCGTTTAGGGTTTAGGGTTCGGGTTTAGGGTTTCGCCACCCGCACTGCGCGCACACAAGCACCCGCTCTAGGGTTTAGGGTTTAGGGTTTAGAGTTTGGGGTTTGGGGACCAAAGGAAACATGAAATTGGAATCGTTCACCCGATGCTACTCTCATCCTGCCCATGAAAGTACATGGACCCTAAAACCTTCTAGAGCTCATTGACTCCTCAAGGAATACTTCACACTGCAAGTAGGATCTGAAGCGAAAGAAGTGCTACAGGGTTTAGGGTTTAGTTTAGCCTGAGAGGAACAAGGGAACGGTGTCAGCACCCCCCCCCCCCCCCCATTTTGCATCCGAGCCACTCATCTCCACCAAGCTTATGACACCATTGTTGTTGAAATCCAGCGAGGTGAACCTTGAGGAGATTTGGTCTCAAACGGGCTCAAACCCAAAAGGTCAAAACACACCCAAAATCTTGCTGGCAGAAAGGTTCTCCCGACAGCCCCCCTGGCGCTCAAACCCTCAACCCCTCAATCCTAAACCCTTCAACCCTCAACCCTAAACCCCTCAACCCTAAGCCCTAAACCCTTCAACCCTTCAACCCTAATCCCTCAACCCTACAGCCCTAAACCCCAAACCCTGCAGGGGTGCTGGTGCAACCAAAGAGGCCTTGGCGGGGACGCTGATGAACTCTGTGCACGAACTCTGCACCAACGATAGGGATGATAGTACCCCCCATATTGGGGTTTGGGGTTTAGGGTTTAGGGCTTAGGTGGACTGTTAGGATAAGGGGGACCATCCCAAAGGACTCTTTATGCTGTTTCACTGGCGAACGCGGGCGAGGCTCTTGGTCAGAGGGTCCAGGCTACTGGCGGCAACGAGACAGTGATTTTTGTTTGCGGGGAAGCTGGCGAGATTGCAGACGAAACTTCACTCAGAAAGGAGAAAAAAGCTGCTCAAATTTAGACTCCACACCCCTGAACTCTGAGCCCATGAATAAATCTACAGGGGGGCCCTCTACTTGGCATTCATATGCTGGTGTGCTCTGACCCATCAGCTGCTCAGTTGTTGAAGTACACCTTGGCAGGCAGCTGGCCCAAGAAGCGATCGCGGGAGAACTCGGCGTTCCGGCCTGTGACGATGTCGCCAATCACGCGTCCGACGAAGGTCCCACCGTAGAAGACGAAGGGCAACGCAACGAGTCGCGATTGGTAGTTGTACCTGCGGAAGGACCCCCTTATACTAAGAGCTGCTTAATAGGGATTCTATGGGGGGGGGGGGGGGTATCTACGATCATCCCTAGTAAGGGGCTGTTATAGGAATTCTAGGGGGGTATATACGATCATCCCAATTAAGGGGCTGTTAGTATAATCAGGGGAACATCCCAAGTTGTACCTGCGGAAGGACCACCACGTAAGCCCAGCCATGCCAAAGGCAGCATCCCACATGAAGTTCGTGGCCACCACCTCCTTCCGGACGGACTCCTGTCGACGGATGCAAATCCTTGGTAGCCCAGGGTTTAGGGTTTAGGGTTTAGGGTTTAGGGTTATCTCATACTAAGGGCACCCTTTTCTTGGGGTTGGTTACCTTATAAGAGCCCAGAACCAACATAAGAAGGGTAAAGGGTACCACTGGGCTACCAAGAATCTGGTTGGCTTCGGAGACGTCGTCTGGGTCGAACTTCCGGGAGAGGATCTTGCGCTTGTCGCCCTTGTCCAGCTTGCCTTGGCTGACTTCTGAACCCCTCCTAAAAGTTTGCCTTTTTAGGGCTCCTTGTTGTAGTTGCTTCAAAAGCCCAGCAGGTGAAAGTGTCCTAAGAGCCAGGTCATAAAGTCCTACGAGGTGCTGTAGTGCAGATGGATCATGGGTGCCATTCCGAGCAGACCGGTGCTCTCCCAGGGCATCAACTTCCGCTTTCCGATCGTCTTCTTCTCCTCGATGATGGTGATGTCCGAAGGCACCTATACTGAACTTGGAACCCTAGCAAAACTTATAATTTTCGCTGTTTCTTAGGAATTAGAGTAACCAAAAATTAAAAATTATTTCCAAGTACCCCCAAGGCACCACAAGGCTTGCCATGGCGACGGGGTTCAGGAGCCTTTGCCAAGGAAAGCGCAGCGCGGGTGAGATCAAAAAGCGCTTGAGCCAAAATGGCTCTTTACTGCTTCGGGTGTAGACGGGCCCAAACAGCCCCAATATCCCTTAATTAAGGAATATTCCTCAAATTAAGAACCCTCGACAAATTAAGCAATATTCCTAATTGAGGGATATTGGGCCCGTTGGGGGTTTAGCAGCTCTATAAAGCCAGACTGGTGAAGAGACCGCCCCCCTCCCAACATCTCTCATCTCGCTACCTAGGAGCATGATGGCGCATGGAGCCCCCAAAACCCTAAACCCAAGTCCCTAAACCCTAAACCCTAAACCCTAAACCCTAAACCCTAAACCCTAAACCCTAAACCCTAAACCCTAAACCCTAAACCCACGTCCCAAAACCCTTCGTCCCAAAAGCCGCAGTATCTCCGGCCCTTCAAATACTCAAGAATTCCCAAGGCTGTCGCTGATTCCTTTGGCGCTCGATGCTGTCCTCGCCGATGTGCATCCTGCCAGGAGTCCGGTTAGGAAGATTTTCTTGTACCCTAAACCCTAAGCTTGCCCTAAACCCTAAACCCTAAACCCTAAACCCTAAACAGTTTAAGGGATCCCTCGGGGATCGATTGCACTCTCCGACCAGCAACGAGCAAGCTGTTGGTTGAGGGCTTGGTCTTTGATCCCCGCGGTGAGCAGTTTCACATCAGGTGATATCTGCAGCGTGGAGAGGTTTAGGGTTTAGGATTTATAGGGTTTAGGGTGTAGGGTTTACGGTTTAGGGCTGTCCCCCGTTTTCTACCAGTCCTTCATAGGGATTGTACTAGGAGGGTACAATGATCCCTTTTAAGGACTGTTAGCATACGGGGGAGCATCCCAATATCAGGGTATTGTTAGGGGTTAAGGGGGTAGCTTGCAGGGACAATGCTTGTATAAGGATGTGCTATAGGTTCCGTTCCGCTGCAGGATTGCCGGCTAGTGAGCTCCCGATCTTCTGTCCTGCTCTGGCTGTTGTGTCTTTTTAGGGTTTAGGCTTTAGGGTAACCCTAAACCCTATACCTCCAGCTCTCCTGAATTGCCAAGCACACGAATTTTGCAAAACCCCAAACCCTAAACCCTAAACCCTAAACCCTAAACCCTAAACCCTAAACCCTAAACCCTAAACCCGAAACCCTAAACCCTAAACCCTAGCCCGAAACCCGAAACCCCAAGCCTAAACACGTGAGTGGACAGTAGCACCCTAAAGCTTATCCTGAACCACTACATCCTCGATGGTCTACCCTTGGGAACAAAAGGACAAAAACAAGACTGAGGTTTGAAGTGTAAGTGGGGGTCCACACTAAACGCAAGCATGCTTGTTGGTCAAACATAAACTGAGTGGTGCTTCAAAGCTCTTTGAAACTTTTTTTTCTGAAAAGGTTCCCTTGAAAGGGAAGGAAGGGAAATTTAAAGTTATCCCAAAGCACTACCCAGTGAACCCTGGCAGGCACTGAGGATATGGCGCGATGACCTGCAGGGCCAACTTCCTTTGGCGACTGAACATGGAGAAACCCCCCCTCTTTCAGTCTGAGACTCCCTCGCTCTCTCTCACTCTCTCTCCATCTCTCTTTCTCTCTTTCTCTCTTTCTCTCTTTCTCTCTTTCTCTCTTTCTCTCTTTCTCTCTTTCTCTCTTCCTCTCTTCCTCTCTTCATCTCCCATCTCTCTCTCTCCCTCTCCCTCTCCCTCTCCCTCTCCCTCTCCCTCTCCCTCTCCCTCTCCCTCTCTCTCTCGCTCTCGCTCTCTCCATCCCTCTCGCTCTCTCTCGCTCGCTCGCTCGCTCGCTCTCTCTCTCTCTCTATCTCTCTCTCTCTCTCTCTCTCTCTCTCTCTCTCTCTCTCTCTCTCAGTTTAAGGACAACTTCCAACGGGTGGCCAGAGAGCTCCTCTTTAGGGTTGGGGTTTAGGGTTTAAGGTTATAGGGTTGGAATTCAGGGTCTAGGGTTTAGGGTTAGCGTGTAACGTAGGATTTTGCTTTGATACAAATTGAGCGCTACGACCTAACCCTAAACCCTCAACCCCTTTAACCTCTAAACTCAAAAGCCTAAGCCCCTGCGATGTGGACAAGCCCCGGCTGCGCAGGGGAGAGGAAAAATCCAAACCCTGAGCCCTACACCCCTAAACCCCGGACCCGACGTGCCCTGAACTCCCTAAACCCTAAACCCTAAACCCTAAACCCTAATTAAACCCTAAACCCTAAAACCCTCAACCCTTAACCCGAACTGTAAGGCCCAAGGCTCTTGATGACATTGGCGCGGCAGTAACTCCTGAGGTTGTCCACCTGGGTTGGCACTCAAAGAGCTGTATATAGGGCCCCTTTTTTAAACCCAAATAAGGAAAGCAAAAAATGTCCCAAGACCCAACCTAAGGATTCTTGAAGCCTGGGCACTGTTTCTGCATTCAGCGCATGGTCTCCCGTAGAAGAATGCTCGTTGATCCAGTGGTTGTTCAGAGCCTGCGTCGGGCGTACTTGGAGGTTCATGGTACTTACTAACCAATTATAGCTGCACTTGTAACCCACTTATCAGCCCCTTAAGTGCCCTAGACAGTTTTTAGTACAGTTCTATAATTGGTTCCTAAGTTCATGGAACTTATGAACCAATTATAGAACTGTACTAAAAACTGTCTAGGGCACTTAAGGGGCTGATAAGTGGGTTACAAGTGCAGCTATAATTGGTTAGTAAGTACCATGAACATCCGAGTACTGCAGGGACAATCTACCCAGACCTCGTGTTGCAAGGGGGTACTGTTTAGGGTTTAGGGCTTAGGGTGTAGGCAACTTCAGGTCGGTGGGCGGGGAGATGATGGCGGCGATCGGGAGTTCGGATCATGCCCTTAAGCTTCTGCATCTCCCATACACACGCATGCGCACACACCCGCAAACCCGGCTGCTGAGCCAAGCCCAAGTCAGAAATCATCCCTAAACCCTAAACCCTAAACCCTAAACCCTAAACCCTAAACCCTAAACCCTAAACCCTAAACCCTAAACCCTAAACCTTTTCGCAATCGGTGCCTGCTCCGCAGTGCATCTCCGACTCGGATTCCGGGTCATGAGCGCGCGGATCAAGTCCTTTGCCTGGTCCGAAACCTGGCGCTCTGATCTCTTGGGATTTTCCGGGTGGTAGTACCTGGACCCCCAAGGATATGTTCAAAAACAGCCCAAAACCCATAAAAAAGGCGATTACTTTGCATATGTTGGGGCTTTAGGTACGGCTTGTTGTCCATCTTAAAGAAGGGTTAGAATTGAAAGGAAGTTTGAATGAACTGATGGAGTGCCACCGAGACTGTTGATTGAACCAAGCCCTTTGAAGAATAGCTGAGGCTTTTTCTGTCAAATTGAGTTGAATGTTCCTTTAGTACGGAGTGAGCAGAGATGAACTTCAGTGAAAAAGCAAAGAAAGCTCATTAACTTACACTCAGCTAACTGGCTGAACCCCTGAGACTGGAAAACAAGGCCACAAACTTTTCAGGCCTCCCAACCCCAGAAAGCCCTGAACACTGGCGACAAAAGCCTGGCCTGCTTCCAGTCCTCAGGCAGGAACGCGTAGCTGCCCCTGGCAAGCAAGCAAAGGAATGAAGAATCGAGCTCTCCCCGACACCATATCAAACCCTAAACCCTAAACCCTAAACCCTAAACCCCAGTCAGCTTCCACAGAACATGCCCACCCGCAACCGAAACGCTAAGCACGGGGTCTAAAGCTGAGCTGAGGTTCCCGAGGATACGTTCGAAGAGCTCTTCTTCGTTCTCGGCGAAGAATGCCGGGTAGCCGCAGCAAAGCATCTGGGAAGCATCTGCAACATCCCCTTAAAACCCTAAACCCTAGGCCCTAAACCCGAACAGGGCTGTGGGATCCTATTATGTAGGCCGACTATGGTGATCCCCAAGCCCTCTTGCGTCCTACTTGGTCGCTAACCCTTACTTGCACTTCTACTTGTGAGGAAGCATAAGCCCAAGTACAGCAAGTGCAAGAAGTGTTTCGGCCCTCAAGCAATGGAGTTCATGGAGGTTCATGGAGGGCTGATTCAGGTCAGGGACTTTGCATGCTTTCAATAAACCCAAGGGAAACCTATAGGAGTAAAGAAAGGGTACCCTTTTTGTGCTTCAAAGGGGCACCTCAAGCCTGGAAACACGGGAAGAAGGGCTTCCGCTGCCCCCTTTTCTTCGTAGGGAATGAGGGAATTAGGGCCCTAATGGATACTCTTTAAAGGGATTATATTATAGTCATTATAGGGTAGCTCATTCCCTGATAGATACCCTTTAAAGGGATTATATAGGGTACCTCATTCCCTCATTCCCTACTGGGAATACGTGAAAGGTTGGGAGGTTCGAGACAGCTGCAGGGAGTTGGGAGTTGGGACCTTCTTAGGCTTGGGGTCTGGTAAGTTCCCCTACGTGCCCTCAAGGGATGGATCTTGGGGTTTAGGGTTTAGGGTTTAGGGTTTAGGGTTTAGGGAAAAGGATTTAGGGTTTAGGGAACCCCACCCGCAGCACGCAATTCGTTGAGTATAGCATGTTGCCTTTTTTGTAGCTCGGGGCAAACCTCGCAACTCGGGTTACCGGGTTGGCTACCGAAACCACAAGCTGCTCCCAGACCGAGGTAGTTAATGAATCTTAGGGCAGTTTCATGGGCCCTTCAAAACAAACACCTGATATACCCCTCATATACCCTTTTCGAATTCAGGGCCCTTTCATCAGAACCCTTTGAAGGAGGTTCGGGACCATATCAAGGGCCCATGTGCTTAGACCCGTCCGGCCCCTCCCAGTCCTAGACACCCACCGTGCCGAAACCCTAAACCCTAAACCCTAAACCCTAAACCCTAAACCCTAAACCCTAAACCCTAAACCCTATACGGGGGGGAACCGAAGGGGGACGAGAAACCGAACCGTCAACCCCAACAGAAACCCTTGATTTCCCTGGATCAACCACACAACAAACCCAAACCACAGGGCACTCACCTTTTACTACCAGGCACATGGCCCAGTCTTGAGCCATACATGATTTCCGGGTTTTTTAACCCTTTCAACTCTCAACACTAACTCTTTTCTACAATACCAGTTGCAGCTCCGCACTCCCCCTGTCCCTAGGACACATTGGAGATGCAGATCTTTGGCCAAAAACTGCCATTAGGGCAGCAGCCAGCTGCTTGAAATGCACAATAAGGTTTTACGTCTACCAGGACGAAATTATAGCACATTGGCTCTACTATCAGGGATTTCCATACCCTTAATAGTAACCACCACATTTGTCAGCACATTGGCTGTTCCAGCGCACCTGTCTCCAGAAAGAGAAAAACCATCCCTTTATCCATACCATCCAATCACTTCTTTTTCCGATTGTTGGCCATCTTGAGGTGAAGTTGCAGCAGAATATACTCCAGGTCCGAAACTGCAAGAACAGGATCCTGTACGCCCCTTTGAATTGAGGATACCAATCCTTCTCTTTTTGCGTCCTCAATCGCTTGGCAAGATTGACCCAGCTCTGCACTCACAGCTGTAGACGCTTGCGCATCCACATCAGGAGGACGATCCTTTTCCTCAGGACCTTTCACCACCACCACATTCACCACATCTCCCTTTTTGGGACTCTGACTTTTCTCCTTCTTCTTCGCCTTTCCACCGACGTTTGACTTTGTGCGCATTTTCGAGGCTTTTTCCCCTGCAGAAACCGCCGCATTGGATGATGATCCACTCTTCTCAATGGTCGCCGGCATCTTCTTCGGCTTTGGAACCAGGAGAGTGTAAGGATCTTCGATAACTGCAGTTTTCCTCTTCTTTTTAACCTTTTTTGCCTCCTCCTCAATGACAACTTCCGTCTCAGAAGTCTCAACCACCTCCTTTTCGGCAGGAATATCTTTGCTGGACTCCCTTTCTAGGGACCTCTTCTTGCCCCTTTTGGGATCTTTTTCTTCTTCCACGTTGGCTCGCTCGAACCATATCCTCAGGTCATTGACCCATTCTTCCACCTCCTCGAGCGAAACCTCATACGACTTCACTACTTCGTGAAGTTCCAGCACGGACAACATATCGTCGGTCCACGAAACCCATTCTCTATCCATCTGGTCAGCATCTCCATTGAACTTCAGGAGTTTGAACAGTGGGTCCGCCTCTGCTCGAGCCAAATCTGTTTTGCCATTCGACAGAATTGAAATCGCTTCCATCAACAGTTCCGACATTTTGGTGTCATCGTCATAAGTCATGGAATACTCCTCACCATCATCGAACTGTTCAGGAGAGATCTCCTCTTCCCCACCTTTTGCACCAGATCTTCTCCTTGGACCATCCCTTGGGGGCGTCCTCGGAGACCTTGGCCTCTGTTCATTCAGCGGATCACCATGCTCAAAAACACACCTGTCACCATAACGACACTTCCCAGACTGAGCAAACTGAATGCACCTCACACCAGTTGCATCATGCGAGAACGCACACGTCTTTCCAGCGAAACAGGGTCTCCCCGCCACATAGTATTTGCACCAATACGAATGCAGCACCACATCATCTTCTGAATGGATGAATTTGCAGTCTTCACCAAATTTGCAGCGATCTTTTCCCTTACTGAACCAATAGCAGAAGCCTTTCTTCCTCTTCTCCAAGCGCTCCGCCTCGAACCGGTCCATAGGGCGATTCTGCTCTACATGAACATTGCCATGTGCCTGAGAACTGCTCCCTTCACCCCAGGTGCTATCAGTATTTGATGCTTGGAGTACAGCTGGAAAACCTGGCCTTGGTCCTACCACCTTCATGATTGGTTTTCCGCCAGCTCCTGAGCCACACTGAGACGATCCAAAAACATTGAACTTCTTCATGAAGGCTTTCCTAGTGCCGATCTTCTGCACCCTTTTGATTGGACGCTTCATTGTTCCAACCTTGCATCCAGATACGTTCAAACGACACAACCTCCTATACCCAGCTCTATATCCCTTTTTCCAAAGAGCCATAAGGATTTTAGAGGCAGTAACATTCTCCACCTCTACCTTTTCCAACGATCCCTCACTTCCCGGAACAAACCCCTCCAGCCCATCCATATCTGAAGACCTTTCCATCTTTTTTGACACCACTTCGTCGAGGTAGTCTTCAGAGATCCAGGGTAAGTTCCTCTTAGAGGAAGGATTGTCACCATTGTTTGGTCCTTCACCAGGATACCCCTTTGTGCTGTCAAAGATCTTCCCAGTAGTGCGGTCCTGCGTAGAGAAGTTGGAAGCAACGCGAGAGTACACTGACCACAAGAAAATCCTTGTGCCCGCCAGTCTTGACGACCCACTGGATGTCTCCTCTTCCGGAGAGACTTCTGGCGCTTTGCCATCCCTTCCAGTGTCACCAAGTGTCTCACCTCCAGCATCTTCAATGGGAATAAGGGATTCATTGTTCCCTTGATCTAGTACCGCATCTTGTTGATCGGGGATCTCCAGCACCATTCCTGTAGGATCCACTTCCTCATCAGCATCGTCGTCCATTCTTCTCCAGAGAACTTCCAATTGATCAGCGCAGGTCGCTGCCTGAAGGAACTCCATCATTTGATCCCTCCCGTGCTGCCAGAGAAACTCGGAATTCACCACTGTCCCTTGGCCTCCAAGTCTAAGGAATGGAGCGACCAGATTGGCTACCCTTGCCATAAGTTCCACATGAACTTCCATGCCTGGACTGCGACTCCAATCATAGGCTATTGCCTCCATAGCAGTTCCAAACTTTTCAGTATTTCTGAATTCCTTTTCCAGGCCAGGAGAAAGCAGTGCACCCATCACCGAAAGAGGATAATTTCCCACCACCGGCAAGCACGGATTGTCATGGAACGAATGATGCAAATCACAATAATATCCTTGATCTCTCCTTTCAAAAAGGAGTCTCCCAGTATTCAACTGGGCATTCAGTTCATCCACTTGAACCATTTCAGCACATATTCTCTGTGCTGTGTACGCCATTGCTGGCCAGATGGAACGATCGGTCAGACCACGACGCATAACCCAATCAGTTGTTGGCGACTGAATCAGCGTCCTTGGATCATACACCAGAACTACCATCGCACCGTCACCCATTGACTGATCAGCATCGTCCTCCAGTGCCAGGTTCTCATCCTGTTCGCTTGCACCCTCGGATGACATGCTAATAACCAAATTTCGATCCATCTTATTGGACCCTTTTTGGCAGTCTCTTTGCCCCACCGGCAACTTGCCAACTGCAACCTTCCAATAAATCCGATTCAGAAGACCTTTAACCAGCAATTGCTGAGGAACATTCTTCACCGGACGAACATCCAATGTCTTCGCACCATCACCATGGAGTTCATTGCTCCCACCTTCTCCTTCGTTTTGGTCAGTCTCCTCGCCAGGAATTTGCACTGCTCCTTCCAGCGCCGTCTCCTGTCCAGCCACTTCTTGCCCAGGAAGAACTTGAGCGCCTTCAGATACATTCACCTGTCCAGCAACACCTTGCCCAGGTAGAACCTCATCTGTGGAGCCCACCGCCAGCGAACCAACTATAACTGAGCCATCCCTTGCTCTTTTTTGAGACTGTTCAGTTCGACGAGAAGGTTGTGGTAGCGAAAAAACTTGAGAAGTCACTTCTTGGCGGGTCTCCCCCCGCGACGCTTTGTCGCGTTCTTTGCCAAGGTGAACCGATTTTTTCTGCCCGTCATTGGGGCCGGAAGAACCACCCATCGGAACATTGCCACGAATCGCAGTTCTCTGTGAATCCCTTTCTTGCAAAAGGATTTCCCGCATGCGGTGCACAGCATTGGTCTCTTCCTCGCTTGAATCGCTTGAGGAAGCGGCATAAGAAACCAAAGC